ATATCCGATCCAGTAATTTGGGTCAGTATCGGACCGATACCGATACGTAATATCGGATCGGTCCATCTCTAGTGTCTACATCCCTTACAGGTGAGATTCAAATATTCACAATATCTGAGATTTTGAAAAAGACAGAAATGTTACATTGTAAAATTTGTATACAGAGCGGCTACTTATGAAAAAGAAAATGTCATGTGCTCTGTAGTACATGACTGTGATTATTAGGGGGTATCCCTACCGGCGGAAGTCCTTATACTGCAACTTGTTGTCCCCTTTCCTTCCAAAGAAGTAGGCCTGTAGTGTTGTGTTCACACCTTCTCCTTCTTCTGTGGTTTTCTGGGTAACATGCAGACAGTGTTCAACAACATCATGTGTGTTAACATTCAAAGTGAAGTGGCAGAAATGACAAAACATGCTAATATTTGAGGTAGAACTAGAGTAATATACAAAGTGTGTCAAGAAGAGTCATCTGATTTCAAAGTGTTTTGGTGAGAATGGAAGCACGTACTGTTGGAAAGACAGGATTTGTGAGTATCACATAGCTGTACGTGCTTGCAAACGCATGGGACGTGTTTGAATATTGAATGAACATATGCCGTGCATCCAGAGGGAGACACATTGAGCACTTGTGAAAATTACAAGCTCTGCATGTAAAAGTGTAAAATCAACCATGTATTTTAAAATTTACTGCAAACTTTTGAAAACAGATGATTCTTTCTGGTCCTCGGCCAGTGTTATCAGCCTGTATGTTTTCAACTAGCCCATCACCCAATAAACACTCACCTCTGTAGTATCTATCGGGGCTCGCAGTTTAGTTTTTCCCATGATTTTCTTGAGCTTCAGCAACAAAAATAAAGAAATAAATTAAATTTTAGTTAACCAGTTAATCAAAATAACTAGTTGTACTGAAAATGTTTGGCTGATCAAGTGTGAGCAACATCCTACATTATCAAACAGGCAATACAACAAACAAACAAATAAAAAACAGCATATTTGAAAAGGGGTTTCTCTTTACAACAGTCACAAGACAAGTCCAAACAAATATAAAGCTGTGGTACAGTTCACTTATCAAGTTAGAGATGTGGCTTTCATGTAATCACATGATAGAAACCAGAGCAGATGAGAATCCATGCACTTCTACTTTTCACTAAATGCCTTAGGCTTGTTCACCAAGTCATGACATGAAACTATAACAAGGTGAAGGACGTGCCAACATGCAGTCTAAAACAAAAGCCCAAGTCTAACATTGTTCTAAGCTGTGCTACACAAATCTTCTCTGTCTGGTTGAAAAAGTCAAAGAAAAAAAAATGTCAGGTGACTTTAAATAAACCCGCTAAACTCAAGCAGCGACATAAAACACAAGACTCGAGCAGCTACAGCTCTCCCTCACCTTCACGTGGTGCCTTGGTTCATACTTACAACTGCAGGAGTTGTAGCACATGAGGAAGCGTTAAAAGTGGCGACAGTTTGAAATTAAGTGCACACAGATATTTAGAACAAATATTCCTGCATAATAAGTCCGCCCATGAATTTGCTGCTTCATTATGATCTGGTATAATCTACTTCTGCTTTTATTGTCAACAGATCCTAACACATCACAGATCTTACTTTCAAAAACTCCTTTTTGTCCACTTGCTCGTTGCCATCAATGTCGAGCATTTTGAAGGCTATATCAAATCCAGTGCGCGGCTCTGCAATAACAATGTAGGGCAGTTATGTAGACAAAGAGTATCAGAAATAAACAGTCCAGAATGGAGTGAACCAGTCAGCACAATATCTCCAGCAAGAGCTTGGACTATTGGAGAGACTTACTGGTCAGGATGGACAGCAGGAACAGATACTCTGTGTAGGATATCAAACCTGTGAGAGATAAAATACACTGTGCTGCATTTCAGATAACAAACAGGGGGACACACTGACAAAGAGGATTATCATTAAACATGAAAAGGTGGATTGTTGATGGTCTGCTGACAGGTTAAAGCGGACCTCTCATTTTCTTTATATTTTGCAAGAAAAATGGGAAATAGGCCATTTACTGAAACGTGCAAACACGCAAGCAAATGCAGAACATAAGA